GAAGCAGTTGACTTTGGTTCTATCCGTCAGCTCTTTTATTCGATGAATTTTGTTGGTGCCTTTAATGTTGGTCTATTTCATCATCATTATGTAGCAGGTCCTTTGCAAAACGTCGCTCTCATCACTGTCTGCCTGTCTTCTTACTGTCTCTCCCCTTCCTCTGACATACCAGTAGGCTTTGATTTTTGTACATATACAACCAACAGCTTCATTACTGCAGCTTTTACATACACGGTTAAGTAAGGGGTCATTCTTATGCTCGCTGTGACATGTGATGTTAGACTCATATTTATAGACTGATCAGAACCCGGTGTGTGATGTGGTTAACATCACGCCGGTCGCCTTTACTTCTCATGACATTAAATCTACCGATTTTTAGATAGGTCGAGTGTGTTGAGCTTTGCGCTGAGAACTGACAATACAAACTCGGGACATTCCCATAAATGCTGCGTCCTCATCTTCAGCAACCAGCGAAGAATTTCTAGTTCTGATGTTGTCAGTAGCAATCGTATTATCTGTCCATCTTTACTTTTCTCTGATTGTAGAGACGAGTCTAAGTCCACTGGTCACTCCTAGCTGTACCATTCTCTCCAGGCCATAACAATCTATTCGTACCTTCACATTGTTGACTTGCTCCTAGAGGATACCTGGCAACATCCTGCCTGTCGTGCATACATTCACCATCTACTGGGTGCAGAACCATCCAATCTGTCTGTCTGTTCATTTCCCTACACTCGTGCAAGCACTGGAGAAAATACCGAATAAATTATGGCTACACTGGCTGAGTCGACCTGTTAGCTAAGGTCAGTTTTGAAACAAACAAAAAAACAAATAACAGCTACGACACGGATTTGAATTCCTAACTTTAACGTTATCAAGCTAGTATCTAGCCACTACACTACCCTGGCTATCTTACTCTTAGCATATAACAGTAATTATAAGTTCCGCTTTCTGTAGATTCAACGATAAAAACTCCTGTATTCAACACGTCAAACACCTTCAAGTGCCACTTGCTGCAGCTTTTACCGTCACTAACAGCTCTTCAATAAATAAAATTAGTTTGATTTATGCCACTCGTCGGTTTTAGTGTCGTCGGCTGTTCGACGGGTTGGCGTTAGCTGACTGACTTTAGTATCAACACAACCCATTGACACTTGACTTCAGGTTACTTTAGTAACCATTTTGTGGTACTCCAATATAATTGTAATACATAGCTACAAGCTTGAAGGATTGTTTAGCTCTTCGAGTCTCATCCTTGCGATGTCAATCTACAAAATGCAAGAATGGAAAACATGGTAGGGGTGGGAATTTTTTTTTTTTTTTTTAATAAAACATTATAATCTGTCCCGACCTTAGTTTGACTGTTTTGCCTGCACCGGGACGCCAGACAAACTTGGGGTACGTCCTTTCCTGTCTTCAGCTGAAAATTCTAGCTATGTGTCTATGCCACAGATAAAATATTAACATTACATTAAATATCCGATGGGTGGCAGGGGTGAACGGTGGTGGGAAAGGGGAGGGGTGGAGGCTGCGCTCCTTTGCCAACTTTCAAAATAGAACTGTTTGAAAACATTTATCAGTGCATATGAACCTAAAGCACTAAGATATGAGGGTAGTTAGTCGAACTGCCAGACGAACTATTTAGTGCAGTATTCATAGAAGTTATAAGTAGGTCAGGAACTTATCGAACCCACCTATCAGGAATGTCGCAACAAATTAATCAATTTAAATGATTGACAAATCAAATAAAGGTACACAAATCAAGAGGCGTTCTTAGCTGGGGAAGAGGGATAAAAAAAAACAGGGGGGGGGAGGGGAATTAGTTGTGAATGTCTCTACATTTTCATGTTTCTATATTGTATAGAGAAAATATGACAGTTAAGAAAAATAAAGGAGTGGCGTTAAAAGGAAATAACAATGAAAAATATAAGGAGGGCAAGAAATGTGAGAAAAAAAGAAAGAAGAAAAAGAAGAAGAAGCAGAAGAAGTGGTAATAGTATCAGTAGCACATACCTTTGAAAATACATTACATATCAGTAATGTATACAAAAGACAGACAAGAAGGTCTAAAGTTTACAAACTTTTTAAAGAGGTTATAGATGTTGAAAATGGCCGCTACCTGCTGCTAGGCAAACATCTAAGCGGTAGCCGAACTCATTCCATTCGCTCAGAACTGAGTTGAAGGAGCATGCGCACTTGATTAGTTGGTTACGCAACTTTAGGGGTTACATTCGTAATTTAAATCTTCCTCTTTTTCTGTCTCTCTCTCTCTCTCTCTCTCACTCTCTCTCTGTGTCTGTCTGTCTCTCTCTCTCTCTCTCTCTCTATCTCTCTCTCTCTCTCTCTTGTACGTATATTAATAATTATCAGTGTATATTAAAAGAAATATACGTGAATGAAAGTGTATCAATCATTTTGAATAACCTTCTATTTATATTAATCTGGGCAACTGTTTTTGGGGATCCATCCCGATGTGGGACCCTGGCTGTTGTGGGGCCCTAATATAACCCAGCCTTTGGGTTGAACAGGGTTTCTGTGACCCTGTCCCAGGTTATCTTCATCCGAATGGTGGCACTTTGTTTCACGGTGTTAATCGCTCGGTATGATGTCCTGGTGGAGTAAAACGTCAGTCAGTCTGTCTCTGCGGGCAAGTGCTCTAATCACTGTGCCACCACGGCGTTACAAGTAAAAAAAAGGTTGAAGGTCTCTTGCATGAGATTGATGCATTAGGTATATGGTGCTAGCCCCACAGCCTTTCTTGTTGGTAGGACCAAACAGTACAGAGCACCAGCACTTTTGGGGTGGGGGAGGACATAATTTCTTCAGCTCTTTAATAAAGGTTAGGTGCGTATCTTTTACAGGACGTCACAGAACCAACCCCAACAGCCCCTGGCTGTTGTGTGGTTTTTCTAGGCAAATTTGCGTCCAGTAGTTTGCCATTGGTTCCTGGACGGTCGGCTTTCTTGATATCACTGTCGAAACCAACTAAAGGCAGATGACCCTCACCTGGGATGAGCCCGGCATCCCAGCATTACGAAGCGTTCGCATCGACTTAACCACAGAGCCGACGCTCTTCTATAATAGACACTTTTTGATGAGTACTGCACTTTTCTTATACAGTTTCTGGTGAACACCAGCCCTTTTAATTCACTTTTTTTTTGGGGGGGGGGGTGGGGGGGGTGGGGGGTATGACTGTTGGTCTCTTTTCATTATTGTGTTCATTATTGAATGAAGCCCGTGGGTAGACCCACGCATCTATAGACCAACCTTTTGGTGGAATGCACCGCGGCATTATTTAGACTCAGAGAGTACCCTGGGCCTGGAAAAAAAAAATCGATGTTAAGTTCGTGTGGTAAGATGTGTTTTAGGCGTGTCCACACGTACCTGTTCAAGTTTGCCGCGCCTACACGGTGGACGCACTGTTCTGGTTACACGTCTCGATGACGGGGTGTACTAAATTTGTCTTTTAATCAGGCATCAAAGATAGATAGCCTAGTTTTTGTAGGCAGAACTTTGGTACAAGATCATTACAGGACTGTGTGGTCAGAGCTCCCGGTAGCAAGGTGAGTGTTTGACGGTTAAATTGATTCTTCTTTCATCCTGTTTTCCTTTAGACTTGTTTGAATGTTTATGTAATGTGTTTTTCAATATTAGTTTTGTTGTTGTTTGGATAACATTTGACGCAAGATGTTTCACAGAGAACGAACAGAATATGAGGTCTTAAACTACATTTTATGTGAAAAACATTTTATGCAATAAATCCATGGCATTCGAGGGTAGTAAAATAATTCTCGCATACTATATAGAGATGGTTTTAACACGTAGCTGTAAATCTTGGACAATTAATAAGCAAGTCAAACAACTGAGGACCTCAGAGATTGTGTTTTACAGAAGATTGTTTTAAAGTCATCTGAGAGAAATAATTAGAAGATTTAAAAAAAAAGCAACCCAGATGTTTGGAAGGGCGAGGGCTCGAAGACAACTTAACACAAACCACAAAAAAAAGAGACAGCCATCAGTTTTTGTTCATCGTATGAGAAACAGAAAAGTGGAACATGTTATGATATTATCTGTGCATCACATGTACATACAAAACTCTAGAACATGACCACAGTCCAGAAGTGGACAAACCACCAAAACAACCAATTTTTTAAACAATCCCTTTAGAACAAGAATGCAACAAGGCAGGTTGGATGCCTCATCTTTATAAAGTATAGAAGCAGATGTGAAAATTTTTTCTGAGAATCTGATCAAAGGCTTTACACGGTGACATTTTTTTTTTTTTTTTCAAATATTAAGAGGAAGTATACAAAACATACTTTATTTATCATTTTTCAGTTTTGTATAAGTTCGATAAATAACATTTTATTTAATCATTTTTTATGGGCCGTCTTAACACATGGGCTCGCTTGAGACTTGCTGGGGAAGGGGGAGAGGAGGTTACACGAGCACAAGGGCCCTATGCTAATTTGTGTGTGTCAAATGTCCATTTACATTTTATTCTTGGGGTGGTTGTCGTAGGGGCTTCAGCCCACTGGTTTATCCAGGGGCCCATAATGCTGACAGTTCTAGAGGGCTGGGGGCGGCGCACCAAAGTCGTTTAAATGTTTGAGGCATCCTTTTTACCCACCTCATATCCGGGACTCCGAGATTTCCTTGGCAGTTTTCAGGGGAATGGGGGGGGGGTGGGAGGGGGAGGGGGAGGTAGGGGGGGGGGTTGGGGGTTGGAATTAATTTTAGTCGGTGCTCATTTCACATCTTAACAAACCTATACTATTTGACGTTCCCGGAAATCCCCCGAGAAATCGCTGCGTCCCCCAGTTGGGGTGAATTAAAATAAAAGGACTGAACTAGATTTATACTTGTTTTATTCTCATCCTTGAAATGGTAATCCTTCAGTTACATCTTCCTTGCAATATAACTTAAGGGCTACCCGAATCTTGATCACTTTCCTACTCATCTGCCTCTCTGGTCTAGTATTATCCTATTTTATTTCCCAGGTCTCCTGCAGTAAACAGACACAAAAGCCACAAGATGCCACTATCCACCACAAGCCTGGTCATGCTGCTAGCTGGGGCCTCATGTGTCCTACAGGCGACAGGGTCCGTCTGTCCCTACAATACAACGGTAAGTAGATAATTCAACAGTGACCTCCACAGTTCATGACTTTTTGCAAGTGATATGAATATGCAAACCTCTTTCTCTCAACTTAGGAGCTCCAAAATCTGGGGGCATTGATTTTTTTTAATGATTAGCCTCCCCCCCCCCCCCCTCACCCAATTAAATTTTGTAACGGGGCTAAACTACAAATTCCCCCTCCCCCCTCTTTTTTCCCCCGTTCTCTTCCAACTAACCATGTACAAACGTTCTCTTTAAAGATTTTCACACTATTGTTAAAATCATGGAAAATCATGGAACAGTTAGTATAGGAGGTCTAACTATAACAAACTTAAGGTTTGCAGATGACATCGAAGTGTTTGTTGGTGGAGCGGGAACAAGACCTAGTTAAGCTTGTAAATCTGCTGGACCAAACATCAACCAGGTGTGGCATGGAAATTAACGCAGGAAAAATCTGTGGACTAATAATCGTCCAGCTGGCATAACTTCATTAAAATACGTTAAATGTCACAAATTAGAACACAACAATCATTTCAGATATTTAGAATCAGTTTGAAGTGATCAGAAGATGTTTGCAATCTATTTGTTCGAAAACTGTCTGTTAGATCGCAAGGATTTTTGCATGCAGTCTGTGAATACCCATGATTTTTTTTTTAAAGTCCAAAATTGCACGTAAGTCGGCGTCTGTGGCTTAGGCGTTGCGAACGCGCTTCGTAATGTCGTAGTGCCGGGTTCGATACCTGCTGCGAGCGGTTTGTCTTGCCATGGTTTCAACCGTGGTACCAAGAGCCCACCGTCCAGTAAGCGATAGCAAACTACTGGACGTAAATTTGCCTAGAAAAACCACAACATCTAGAAAGTGCTGGGGTGGGTTCTGCAAAGTCCTGTAAAGGATACACAAAGAAAAAAGGGGAGAAAAGATGCTCGGAATTGTGGTAATCAGCCAAATCCTTTGATCTGTTCAAACCATTGTAAATAAGTAGAAATAAATTTTAGATTTTACAGTAAGCATGTTAATTTTCAATTGAAGTTAACTGTTTTCCAAAGGCGTATCTTCATAAGAAATGATGCTCTGTGGAGACCAAGTGTCAGTTTTCTTCGTTTCTCTGGTAATATAAATGACTCGTCTTAGAATCTAGGTACAGTAAAACTGTAATATCCTGCATAGTTCTGAACGTGCACCTCCAACTCATTGTGACACAAAAGCCAGCTATAAACCACAACTGTACACTAATTTTGGATACACGTTTAACTAAACAACATTTAATGATGTCTTATTGTGGGTTCCGTTCACTAACAACTGTACACTAATTTTGGATACACGTTTAACTAAACAACATTTAACGATGTCGTATTTTGGGTTCCGTTCACTAACAACTGTACACTAATTTTGGATACACGTTTAACTAAACAACATTTAACGATGTCTTATTTTGGGTTCCGTTTACTAACAACTGTACACTAATTTTGGATACAGGTTTAACTAAACAACATTTAATGATGTCTTATTGTGGGTTCCGTTCACTAACAACTGTACACTAATTTTGGATACACGTTTAACTAAACAACATTTAACAATGTCGTATTTTGGGTTCCGCTCACTAACAATAAGACTTTGTTCCAGAAAATTGTGAAATTACATAGCTTTTCTTTGACCCTTTATTAAACC